TGATTGGCTGTCTAAGATAACAGAAGGATGTGAACACAAAGTGCAGCAATGTTTTGAGAAGCCTATTAAACCTTAAGCCATCTTAATGCAATTGAGTTAAAGGACACTTGTCGGGGGATTAGGGGGATTAGACAGCTTTCAGGGTCTGTTTTATTTCTCAGCGTTCTGCCAAATGCTTCTCGTTTTAATTAGTTTAATTAGACATTACCTCCTTGAATGACACACATCATATTCCTAATCCTTTAACGGTGTGTATTTTTAGAGGCAGCAATAGATCAAACGTGTGTGTGTGTGTGTGTGTGTGTGTGTGTGTGTTTACTGAAGACACCTGTAAACATGCCCAGAGATTTGATGATCCATTACCTTGGGAAAAAGCAAATAATGTTTACCACAACACAAGTCAAAAAGTCAATTAGCAAAAGTTTTCTGAAGTATCAAGTTTAGGATGTTGTTTCAAATGGTAGTTTTCCACCATCTGGAGTCCAGTTTTGGTTTGTTTGCTGGGTTGCACAAACCCTCCAATTTGTCCTTAAAAGATCTCAAAATGTTCAAAGATGGCGTACAAGATGTACAGGATGTTCTGTTGCAATCCTTTGCACTGGTAAAAAAATAAAAAAAAAAAAAAAAAAAAAAAAAAAAACTAGCAGTTGATTAACTTAATAAATAAATAACATTATTTTTAAATGAATGTTTTTCTCAAATATTAAATGGTTTGGTAATGAGACTTAAAAAATAATTGAAGAGTATTATTGACATTTTATTGACAAATTAATGCCATTTATGATCTTCAAATTGTCATCTTTCTGTATAATGTGATCCCAAATCTGTCATTTTTAACTTTTTAAAATGGTCAATATACTGTTCTTTTGAAACTTCTATTCATCAAATATCACAGAAAAAAAAGAAGTATCGCAGTTTCCACAAAAATCTGAAGCAGCACAACTGTTGACATTAATAATAATAAGAAATGTTTCTTGAGCAGCAAATCAGCATATTAGAATGATTTCTGAGGGATCATGTGACACTGAAGACTGGAGTAATGACTGCAGAAAATCTAGCATTGCCAGCACAGGAATAAATTACATATTAAAATACACTGGAAAAGAAAACATTTACTTTAAATTGTAATAATATTTCACAATATTTACTTGTATTTTTTATCAAATTAATGCAGCATTGTTGAGCAGAAGAGACTTCCTTTAAAAACATTACAAAATCTTACTGAACAGTAGTGTCAATAAAAAAGCACAATAAAAAGTTTCAAGCTATTATAATGTTCTGATTTTTAAGCATTTTTTCTTGAATACTATCAATTCCCTCACTGAAGGATCCCCCATATAAGCACTAGACTATGTTTGACCTTCTGTTGTTATGGTTGTGTGTTGTTAATTCTAATACGAGCAGGCTCGCCGAGGAGCTGTGTAATCTGTTCGCCCAACACTCGGCTGTCAAAAGTTGACAGCTTCCCTCAGCACTCACAGCCGTAACGTGTTTCTGCCAGGAATAACTGAACCGCTATTCACAGAGCTGTCTTTGCTTCAGCCCACGGTTTTGGCCGATGTGCAATGACTGGCCTGGCTAGAGGGTTTTTCACGTTCCTGCGATGCTTGTTAAGGCTGTGCTAAGATTATATGCTATCCAGGGCCCAGAATGCATTTCACAGGCATGATCACTGTCAAAGTAGAAGTGAAACTATTCAAGGCCATAGTATAATCTGTTCATCCCCTGTCCGTTGCAGACATAGGTATACATGTTAGTACAACGAAGTCTGTGAGATAGGCAGTCAGAACAGAGTTGGCATTGTTTGCAGGGTAACCCGAGCCGGGACAGGCCCAAGCATCGTGGGATAGTGTGGGATCGCCGAGATCGGCGCTGTTGAGAGATCAGCGGGACAGCTGACTGTTTGGAGCTTTCAGCACAACTCAAATAAACACTTTGACTATCCAACTTTAGCGCTCACTTTGCCCCCAGCTCTCACACACGTTACAGTCGTGACTGAGCGCTGCGATAAGACTCACAACGAGCCCTTTATCATCAGTGAAGTCGTCTGTTATGTAGCTGAGGATCCGAGTCTCTAGCGTCCTTCACGCTGGTGATTGTTTTACTGGCGCTCCAGGGGCTCGGTTTCTCAGAAGCGGGAGGTACAACACATCCCACAGGCATCAGGGACATTGTGTGCTTGGCCGGCCTACATCCCCATCACTAATCCCAGACTGAACGAAACCTGAGCGCTGAATAATGAAACAGGTTTATGCCAAGCACCGCCGCCTATTGTACTGGCTGTGGGAGAATGCAGTCATTTTGCTCACAGCAATTTATACATCCTTAGCCTGTGTCCTGAACTGGCCTTTCTCATCATCCTTTGGGAAGGGATTACGTTATAATAACAAGAGATGACTTGCTCAAATATGGCTTGATTCTCTCATATGCTGTATATGGCTGATGAAATGAGGTTTTGGAGGAGGAATTACACTTTTGTACAAGCTGTTTGGATTTGAAGCTTTAAAACTGAGGAGACATGCAGGAGGGGGTGGATATGTTTACTGCAAAGATAATGAGATTATTATATACTGTATAATATACTGTATGGAAAACTCTTTCATAGGTCATGAGATGTAATGGACATCTCAGTTACATTCTATCTAAGTATAAACTGTGTCTTAGACGTTCATTAAAAAATTTTATGAAGAAATAAAATTTCTGACAGAGTAAACTTATATGGGTATATAAGTTTACTCTGTTGTGAAATTTTATTTCTTTATTTAATTTTTTTATTAATGTCTAAGACACACAAAAGTTTAAAATTCAACTTAGCCGTCACAGGAGTTATTTTAAATTGGAAAAATATCTAAGATATTTATATTTAACAAAAAAGGCAAGAAATAAATAATACAGTAATTCACCATAATTTAAAACATCCCTATGTGCCTGTCCTTTTTAAAGGTAAAATAATATATATATATATATAAAATAAGATGAGAAAACTTTAAGCAAAAAATTGTGTTTTGATTGTAAGATTTGGTATCTTGACAAATTGGGGGACTGCTTTTAAGAAATTGTTGAGATCTCTTCTAAAACTCATGAAGCATGTGTGAGATTATTGAAGTCTTTTCTAAGGCAAAAAAACATGAAAAGCCAGACCTTTATGTGCACCCATTTTAATGTTTTGCTAAAATAGGGAAGACATATTCACAATTAATTAAGAGTTTTCCCTCAATAAACTCCTAATTTGCTGCTTATTATTAGTTCATAAGGTAGTTGTTAAGTTTAGGTATGGGGTAGGATTAAGGGATGTAAAAAATGGTCTTATAGAATAAGGCATTAATATGTGCTTTATAAGAACTAATACACAGCCAATGTGCTAGTAATGTGCATGCAGCTAGTTAATAGAACTGGTTCTTAAAATAAAGTGTTACCAAATACTGTAACAAAAAACTGTGTAGAATCCCACTTTCGAAGCCGAGACCTGCATGTATTACTGATTTGATCCATAAAAATCACAGTAAGCATGAAAATCCTGTGCATTCCACCCAGTTGGCTCATTTGCTCATGTTGTGTGTGTGTGTATATATATATATATATATATATATAAAATAAGATGAGAAAACTTTAAGCAAAAAATTGTGTTTTGATTGTAAGATTTGGTATCTTGACAAATTGGGGGACTGCTTTTAAGAAATTGTTGAGATCTCTTCTAAAACTCATGAAGCATGTGTGAGATTATTGAAGTCTTTTCTAAGGCAAAAAAACATGAAAAGCCAGACCTTTATGTGCACCCATTTTAATGTTTTGCTAAAATAGGGAAGACATATTCACAATTAATTAAGAGTTTTCCCTCAATAAACTCCTAATTTGCTGCTTATTATTAGTTCATAAGGTAGTTGTTAAGTTTAGGTATGGGGTAGGATTAAGGGATGTAAAAAATGGTCTTATAGAATAAGGCATTAATATGTGCTTTATAAGAACTAATACACAGCCAATGTGCTAGTAATGTGCATGCAGCTAGTTAATAGAACTGGTTCTTAAAATAAAGTGTTACCAAATACTGTAACAAAAAACTGTGTAGAATCCCACTTTCGAAGCCGAGACCTGCATGTATTACTGATTTGATCCATAAAAATCACAGTAAGCATGAAAATCCTGTGCATTCCACCCAGTTGGCTTTTTGCTTTGATGTATTAACTGGAAAAGAGAGAGACAGAGAGAGAGAGAGAGAGAGCACCGCCATTAAGGAAGTGTTCGCTTAGTCTGTGTGATACCCAACACCACAGACTGTGATCCTGCAGACAGACTGGCAAGTTGAGAATACAGAGAGATACTGTTCCCCTGTGTCTCATTCAAGAGCTGTTGAACGCCTGCTGAACGCTGCACCAGAGACAACTCTCTAAACCTGCCAGATTACAGCCTGGACCAACAGATCTAGTGGATTCCAACACGATTCAGGGGTGTGGAGAGTGCAGAAACAGAGGTAGGAGCTTTTTTAGCCGTTTTCAGTTGATGACTAATCCTGAATGTAGAAGTTTCGAGTATTTGTTTTAGCACATTTCAACGATACAAACCCACACAAATGAAATCCAACCGCATAGTGGTTTCTTCTTGTCGGAGATTGTTGAAGTGTCAGAGAGGTGCAGCCGAACAGATGCACCTTAGCTGAGTGGGCTTCATTCACAGCGAGCTAAAAACCATGTGGGAACCTGTCAGCACACAAGAACAACTGTTTCTCAGTTTGAGTCATTGTCCACTGTGCCCTAGCAATAACGCACACGGCCCTCGATGCCACCGGATGATTTATGAGACGTCTCCCGCCATCTGCGAGCATAAAACCGCAGAGGGACGGCTACGGTAAACATGCTCATGATTCGAAGATTATGAGGAGTTTTTAGGAGGGCTTACCTGTGCTCCGCCTGAGCCGCGCTCGTCTACTTTTGTATGCACACAAAGCTCCCTCCAACTGCTCCTTCACGAGATTAAGAGCTTTCCCCTGGCACCATGTCAAGGACAAAATTTAAAGAACACGAGTGTTTAACCTCCAGCTAATCTTGTCTTTGTGAGAATGAAGGGATTAGACCATTCGTTTCTGCATGCCTGGAAGGGTTAGGCCAGTAATGGGCTTGATGAATGACAAAAATGGCTCGGGGAAGGCAGCTGCCAACTGACACAGAAAGACAAATTCGCTGGTGGCCTGACAGCTCCAAAAAGAGGCTTAGCTTAATTCCTGACCTGCATTAAAATAGAGCATTACCGTGCCATGACACTAATTGAAAACAAGCAGTTTAAGCGAAACCTTGTCTTATAAACACGAGCCAGATGTTTTCATTTCTTGGTTATTGCGACGTCTGATGGAAGGGTACATCAGCGCACGCTGTTCTTTGATTAAACGGGATGCAAATTAGATTTAAACACCAGCGCCATTATGAGGGTCTATTAAGGACTCTGTGTGCTTATTATTTAGCTTTACTCGATTAGTCTGTAGCCGGTCCAGCTATTGAGTTGTGCCATGTGGCCTGTACGACTCATTACAGACTAGTCTGTTCTCCTCCCTTGAGACTTGTGCGTTCATCTCATTACAGATCTGGAAGTTTATAAAGTATTGTGTTCTTGGGATTCACGTTTAGTTCGTTTCTCCACGCACGTTTACTGTTCCCAACGTTTGATCGACCCCTGCGACTGTGTCGTCCTATTCAATACAAACAGCTCATCACAAGGGATTTGGAGCTCAGCTCAGGCGAATAAGTTGCTCCTTGTGTTTCCCTCCTCCGTGGACCCCTGGTGTTCGCGAAAGGAGGTCTACCCCTCGGAGAAGCTAACAATCCATTATGGGGCTCTCAAAAGACCTTTCACTATAGATACAGCAGTACTGGAGAAAAGGCCCAAATTGACAGCTCTACACAAAAGAGATTTACTGCTTTGCTTTATGTGCATGAGTGCTGTTCAAAAGGAGGTAATTGCAGGTTGTATAGATGGGCCAATCCCTAAGGGATTTCACCCCTTCATCACATTTGCATTCACTATTAGCCGCCCGCCCTCCCCCCGGGAGGTACCAGTAAATGTCACGGTGAAACCGACGTCATCAGTGGTATGGCAGTGCGTGAAAAGGCTAATGCTGTCAAAACAGAGATATCCTGCTCTTTTTATTTATTTATTTATTTTTTTTACAAGATCTGCTTCCCTCATTTTGAACTGTTATCTTTGCTGAACTGAATTGAACTGTTTTGGGGTGGTAAGTTTTTAGTTTTTTTTCTCAATTTTTTTAATTCTATTTCTTTTTTAATTTCTTATTCCTGTGATGGCAAAGCTGAATTTTCAGCATCATTACTCCAGTCTTCAGTGTCACATGATCCTTCAGAAATCATTCTTATATGCTGATTTGGTGCCCAAGATTTCTTATTACAAACGTTAAAAGTTTTGCTACTTAATATTTTGATGAACATCAAGTTCAAAAGAACAATATTTAGTTGCAAAATCTCTTGTGATATTATAAATGTCATTTTTTTTTCTGTCACTTTTGATCAATTTATGGCACTATTACTGAAAAAGTATTTACAAAAAATTTTTACGGGCCCTAAACATTTCAGTGGTATTGTATGTAAATTTTTCAGATTTTTGGTTAGTACTGCAGTATTACCTCAAATAGTTTATGCAGTTTCATCATTGCTCATAAATGTGTGAAGTAATAGTAGTTCAAGAATGCTTATTAATATCGGTGTGAACTGTAACCCCATTTTTTCCATAATGTGACATTTATAACAGAAAAATGAAAGAGAGTTAATTTAAATCAGGAATTGAGCGCAAAAGTGGGGTTCCAGGAGTTAAAATTGCATTAATTTTTTCCATAGGGGAATTTATTTTAAATAATTAAAAAAACATTTTTTTTTTCATTTTTATTAACTTTTACAGACCCACCATGAGCTGTAAATGCAAATGTATAGTATATTATTTAATTAAACCCATCAAAAATATTTTCTAAGTAATCAAGCTAACAATATTTAAATTTTTAAATGATAAAACTGGTGAAACGTGTCATGACTTTATATTTAGGGACCATAATTTTACAGATTGAAGTGGGCACAGAGTGTAGCATTATGACATTGAGTTTTGCCGGGGCAAGCAATGTAATCTTGTTCTACTCAAAGTGACTAAATCACTGTTTGGTAAGAAGGATTCTCTAATTATCTGGCCTAGTATGCCATGTGTTGACTCAGTATTTTTATTGACCTGCAGGTCTTGCTGATGTTGCTAATACCACAAATGCGAGAGCAGAAAACAACGAGCAAAATGCCACAAGGAGGAGACATTTAGAACCCAAGAAAGACTGAAGGAACAAGCTGTTTGTAGTCACTTTTGTGCACTTGGAGTGCATCAGCACAAGTAAAGAAGAGCATTGTAATCATCCCCCTCTCTAAACACCTCAACATGTTTGCCCCGACGACAGCCCTGCCTCCTCCTCCTCCCCTCTTAACAGGAAGTGCTCTGCCAGTGCCCGGCGCGCCAGCAACAGCTCCTTACACAGGTACAGCAGCACCATACGGACTGAAAAAATTAATCACATATCTGCTAGCTGTGCTCTGATTCGCTCTGTCGTGTGCCCCTTAGATCATGACCTACTGCGGCAAGAGTTAAACTCTCGCTTCCTGGCCTCCCAGACTGTCGATCGAGGAGGCGCTCTAGCTCCCCCGGCCTACCTGCGCACAGAGTTCCACCAGCACCAGCACACACACCAACACACACATCAGCACACCTTCACTCCATTCCCCCACTCCATCATGCCCAGTCCAGCAGCACCACTGGTGCGTACCCCTGCCAGACAAGTGAGGAGAAATACTCTTAATCAGTGCTCATAATAATCAATGTTTTGAGCTGAAATTCTACCAATTGCAATGTACAAAGTCACTAAGTGAAGATAAATATCTCTTTTTCTCTTTTCTTGCAGTTTGACAAATACCCCGCTAAAGTGGACACCTTCCATAGACACAATGTAAGTTATATCTTGTGCACATCATGGCCAGTGATTTGAGTTGCATGCTTCGTTTACTCATCCATCTCATTCATCCTGTTTCTGCCATTGAAAAAAAAAAAAAAGGTAATTGTGACTTTTTATCTCATAATTCTGACCCTTTTTTCGCAATTCTGAGAAGACGAGTCCAAATTGTGATATAAACTTGCAATTGCAAGAAAAAAGTCAGAATTCAGAGTTGCAATAAATAATTATTTAAAAATAAATAATTTTTATTTTTAATTATGTGGAGGAAGAAAAAACTGAATTGTGGGATGTGAACTCAGAATTGTGAGGAAAAAGTCAGAATTCTGAGTTTATATCTCACAATTTAGACTTTTTTCCTCTTAATTATAAGTTTATATTTCATAATTCTGCAATTATAACTCACAATTCTGACTTTGTTTCTTGCAATTCTAAGACAAGTTTTAATTATTATATCTAATAAACTATATCTAATTGTGAGATAAATTTGCAATTGAAAGCAAAGAAGAATTTCGAGTCACAATTTCCTTTAGTATTTTTTATGTAGTGACAGAAGCTTAAAAAAAAACAGAATTGTCAACATACAGTGCTGTTGCACTACGGGCGTCCCGAGTTCAAATCCCGAGGACCTTTCCCGATCCCGCCCCCCATCTCTCTCCTACTTCGCTTCCTGTCAGCTCTCTGATCTGTCCCATCATAATAAAGGCGAAAACGCCAAAAATAAATCTTAAAAAAAAAAGAAAAGAAAAAAAAAGAATTGTGAGATGTAAACTTAAGTTCAGCAATGTGTCCTAAATCAGCATGAACACACTTTTGTTTCCTGAAATTAATGACATTTTTCTGCTGTTTCCCTACAGTTGGTCCCGTCCTATCAGTCAATAATGACTGGAATACCTCCTATGGTTCCACCTGCTGGACCATTCAGCTCTCTCCAGGGAGCTTTTCAGCCCAAGGTTTGCCTGCCACTCTGTCTCTTAGCTTCTGTTTTGTTTGAAACACAGCATTCTTAAAAGGCCCTGACGACGCTAAAGGAAGCCTGTGAATAACTTGATATTTCTTGAGTTGAGATGACCTCCCACAAAGAAAGAAAAGAAAAAACAAGAAAAGTCTTGTGGTTTTCTAGTTTTCAGATGAGATTCTGCAAAGTGTTTATTTTCAGACCCACATTTGCAAAGCCTGTTTTTAAAGGCCAGGAATAATAATAAATGTAAAGGCTGGGCTAGCCACACTTGGTCTCATGTGAGACATGGTCTCATATAATTACTTATATAAAAGAGAATGTGTGCCGTGGAAGAACAGGGCATGATTCATGATCATGTTAACAATGTAAATGAATATAGACGTAGTATTCACAAATTTGTATTTGCAGGCCTCCAACCTACTAGATGTGGTGTCAAGGCCAGGATCTGTGCCACACCAACTTTTACAGGACTCCAGAGTAGGTTTCCATTTAGCATCAGTTGCAAGGCTTCTCTAATGAGTCAAAATCTGAGCCATACATGTTCATGTGTCTCATTAAATATTTACAGCTGTTCTGTCTATCATTGAAGAAATATAAGAAGGAAAATGTAATGTGGTTTTTTTTAGCTTCTTGACCCCATGTGTCCTAAACCAAAGGTAAGGTTTACATGTGATTATTCAACTCCTTTTTATTAACCTAGTAAATCACAATTCTTTACCCATCATTCATTGTTTTTTTATTTTCATTTTCCTTAGAAACCTGGGAAGTGGTGTGCAATGCATGTCCACATTGCATGGCAAGTTTACCATCATCAGCAAAAATTTAAGGTAAGCGCAAAAGAAATAACTGTTCTTTTTTAAGATGTGGAATATATCTAGTTTTGGACAAGTAATCTGTGATTAATGTACCCATTTTCTATTCCTGGGGTTACAGAAGCATATGCAGATTGAGCCACATAAATTAGACTTTGGGTTTAAGCCGGAGTTTCTGAGTCGATCGCCTGTCTCGAGCTTCATGGGACTGCAGCCACGTGATTTACCCCGTCCCTCCACCATTCTCTCTAATGCAGGTACAAATTACAGCATGGATCAAATCCACACTAGTTACTGTAATTTAGCCAAATGGGATGTTCCTGGATCACCAAGTTGTTGGTCCTGGAACAACATCCCATCAACCAATTAGATTATAGGGTTATGGATTAACACGGTGCATTCTTATCAACCTGGTACTTCCAATTGATTTTAGGGTAGTCCAGTCCTCCTGCTAGAGGGAAGTTCAGCTCCAACCGTAATTAAACACATCTGAACTAGCTAATTAAAGATTTCAGAATTACTTAAAGGATTACTTCCAGGTATTTTAGGGCTGGTTGGAGCTATATTCTGCAGGACGTTGGCTCTTAAGAAACGGGACTGGACAGGACTAGTGTAGGGTTAGGTACTGCCAGTGTCAACATTAATGAATCCCCGTAATCTCAGGAAGCAGTGTCCTGTGATTTTTATTAGAGATTGTCTGACAGAAACAGGACTGTGCTAACCAGTATCTACATCTGTCTTGTTAGGTCCCACACACCCTTCAGTTTCGCCCTATGGACCCTTACCGCAGACCCCAAACAATCTCCACAGTGTAATCCCCCATCATGGTAAGATTACGTCTGACTTCAAAATTTAATTCATATTAGACAAACATTACTCCTCAAATTCTAAACTCCCGTATCCCTTGTTATTGTGTAGAGTCTCTTAATAAGCCACTCACCTTTGGAGGCCTAAGTACACTGAGTTCATCTGCCTTTGGAGGACTAGGAAACCCAACACTAAGTAAGGATATCTTTTATCCTGACGTGAAAGGATCTGCTTTTGCTGTAGGTTAAAAATGGAGTCTTCCTCTGACTGACGATAATTACTCTCGGGCATTCACAGCACCAAATGCAGCACATGGGACTAAAGATGGTAAAACGGTGCCAACTTCAAGTGGACAACTGGAGACCTGGAACAGATTGCACCAGACACCCTCATCCTTCCCAACGCCGCCTCTGTGTCCAAGGCCTTCTGAAACTGAGAGAGCTCCCTCCATACCAGACAGAGCAGCGATTAAAAGAGATTCCCTAGACAACAAAGATGACGAGGAACGGTACGTACCAGCTATTTTGCGATTCCAAGATCAAGAAGATCTTGACAGAATCCTATCCGTTAGCATTCACTTCAATGCCAGTTGCTCAGTCAGCATGTGCATCCCCGAAGGTTTGTGACCAGGTTGCTGCCATATTTGCTAAACGGGCACTTAGTTCTGGAAAGATTTTCAAATTGGGTACTTCCAAGGAGTCCTGCACTAGCCGAGCAACTGTTATTGAACAGTTGGGAATGCTATCAGATTGCTTTCTGCAGTTATGTAGACCTCCGTGATGTGTTTCAGGAGCAAAATGCCTAAGCCAGAGGTGTCCATTCCTGATCCTGGAAGGCCACTGTCCTGCAGAGTTTATGTTCAGTTTTAATTAAATGCCTAAACCAGCTAATTAAGGTCTTCAGGATTACCTAAGGAACCTCTAGGCAGGTGAGTTTGGGGCAGGTTGGAGAAACTCCGCAGGACATTGGCCTTCCATGCACAGGATTGGACACCCCTGGTCCTAGATAACCTACCTGATCAAGAATTCTTAGAGTTGACCTCCTGGTTAAGAGTTTAAATAGATAATCATTTATTTCAATCATTGCAGGGAGCCAAAAGAGAAATCAAATGAAAGGCATTTGTCACCCATCAGGAATAGTGCACTGGACAACAAACAACCAACAGAGTCCTTCAAAAGTTCCTCTCCTGATGAGACCAAGGAATTGGAGCAGGCAAGAGAGAAAACACAAGCCCAAGAGCTTCCGCAACAAACTCGAGAAACTGAGGAGCCAACACACAAAGAGATCCAAAGTGACAAAAGAGAAAAGGATGTCAAAAGCGAGCAGCAGCAGCCCACTGAGGACAAGCCAGAGGGAAAAGAGAGTTCATCACCCAAGCAACAGAGAGAGGATCTCAAGCGGCCAAACAGTGATAGCCAACCCTGGGAGCCAGCTGAGAAGAAGATTAGAGTCGAATATGAACCCCATGCCAAGAGCAGCAAGGTGAGAGTGAAGGAGGAGAAGAGAGACGACCAGGACCATGAGGTTACAACACACCAGAAAGTTTTGGAAAAACCATGGCAGGATCCCAGAGCCCCTGCTATTAACCCTTCACCTCTTTCAACTCTTCCTTTGCCAATAGGAATCCCAGCTGGCCACCCTGGTCTTGACAGGACTAGGCTAGTCTCACCTTTTCTGGGAATGGGTCCACTACCTGGAGCCGAAAGGCTGCCTTACTCGCCTCAACACTGGGAGTCTATGCGGAATGTTTACCGAGGTTTAGATCTTCCTCGGAGGGACTCCTTAGGCAAGGACCTCTTAATAAGAACCAACCCCCTGCAACGTGCCATGATGGGGCACCCTGCTTACCCACGTGAGCCATTTCTGCAGTCCATGGCCTTGGAGCAAAGGAGTCAACTGGAGGAACGGCAGCGTCTGGCCTTCCTGAGAGAAGAAAGCGAGCGTAGCCGCCTGTTGGCTATGCATTATACTGCACTGGATCCTCACTTACCACCTCCAGGACTCCTCGCGGCGGCTTACCCCAGCACAGGGCTCCCACATTACACCTCGCTCAGTAGGTCTCTACCTGCTGCTTATATGCACGCCCAACCACACCCGCTTTTTCCAATGCTGGCAGCACGGCCAGGGTCTCCGAGACGGATGACCCCTCTCACAGACAGACCTGTTTCGCACCCACACAGAGACACTGTGACTCGGTGAGCTGGACTTAATCAGAAACTGACAGACTTATGTATATCAAGCATTTCATGTGAAATAACGTGTAGTCGAAATGTACAGTGGTGGAAATTATTATTTTTTTTGTCAAAAAAAAAAAAAGATTATATATATATATATATATATATAAAATGTGTTATGTGTTGCCAACATGATTCAGTCTTTGCACAGTCAAGATCAGTAAACAATTCTATCACACTAGTTTCATAGTTCGGTATAGATGTGTCAGAATTATTTTCTGTAATAATCAACATTTAGACTCAAATGCTAGGAGTACAGCTCAACTCAAAAACGTTCCTTTAAATATGAATCATGGCTGAGGTTACTGCACCCTCTGCTGGCTGACCTCATCAGAAACTGACAGACTTATGTATATCAAGCATTTCATGTGAAATAACGTGTAGTCGAAATGTACAGTGGTGGAAATTATTATTTTTTTTGTCAAAAAAAAAAAAAGATTAAAATGACTTGAGGTGAAAAAAAAAATTACTTGTTCATTTTGAATGTTAACAATATATTTGAAACTAAAGGACTTAAAAAAATACACAACTATTTACAACTATAGCAAGGCAACAATGGAACCATAATACAGCACAATATGCAAAATATTCAACAAGTATCAAAACAAATAAATTAGATGTTACCTACTTACCTATTCAAAAAATTATCTTATTGTTCCTGGTAATTTATAAAAAATAAAAGCAAAAATCAATTTGTTAAAATGAAGAGCTAAAAATATCAAAGGTAAAATTTATGTAAAATAAAATACAAAAAAAAAAACAGTCAGAGTGCTACATGGAGAACAAAAAAAAGTACAAATATGTATTAGACACCTGAGATCATGTAAAAACCTAAAAAAAAAAATGCTTAAAAAACATCAGCCTCTAAACTTTGCATATTAGTTAATAAAAACATTGATCTAATGGAAAATGTTTAATCTATGGAGGTTAAAGAGGTTGTGTATTCTTACACAGGTTATCTCTGATAAGAACTGCATTTGATAGGTATGAGATTACACCACATCCATTCCTAGACCTCTAGCCACTGCAGCCAGAGCTCTAACAGCCCCTGATGGCCCTGCAGGTTGGGCCACTTCTTCTGGATCCCCACTGACCTCAGTCACAGTGTTCAACACACAATACACAGATGTTTCATCGCCTTTTAATCCACTGCTGTCAGTTCCCTCCAGAAGCTCTGAGGTTGAAGAAGATGAGGAAGGAGAGGAGGGTGAGGAAGAATGCTGGGGAGTGCTATTGCCGCTGTCGGGATGCAGCATGGGTTCCTTGGAGTGACTGGTTGAACCAGAGACCTTGCGGGGGGTGCGCTTTTCAGCCATGTTTTTGATCAACTCTTCCGTAACCTCTACAGTCTCAAAACGCACCATGTTGAGCCGCAGATACCCATCCTCGTCCTTCTTGTACCTGTTCAACGAGCAATTTTTAGTACGTGAAGGCAAATTAATAGCTCAGAAGCAACTAATTACATTTTAAGATACTATTAATTGCATACCTAAAACGGGAATGTCCAGATGGCCATTTGAGTTGATGCTTCTTTCGAAGGTGGAGGGTGAGTGTGTAACACCAAGAGAAGGTCTTGTCACAAAGGTGACATTTATACCTTGGAACCATGTTGTCCTGTTGCAGACAGTTTTCATACATGTTATTATATGACATTACTAATAGTTAACTAAAACTAAAAAAAAGTAATTACTCAAAATAAACTGTGTTAAGTTTTATATATATTTATATAACTCCAACTAATCGTCAGTGTAACATTTATAGTTTAACTTGATGTACTAAAATAACTAAAACTGAAATAAAAATGAATTTAAAAAGTACAGATATTTACAAATAACATTTAAACAAATAAAACATTAAATATTAAAATTTTAACTTAAAATACTAACTACAACAGTATCTCCATGATACTAAAAAAACACCTTTACTATGTGTATATAAAACTACTAATACTTTTGTATGTGTAAAAGGCAGTTTACACAATTGATCACATCAACACTAATATGAAAAATATAAATAATGTAAAAAAAAAAAAAATAATTATAATTTTTAAAAAATAATTACATTATTTAAAAATAATTAAAAAATATATCAGTAAACAATTCTATCACACTAGTTTCATAGTTCGGTATAGATGTGTCAGAATTATTTTCTGTAATAATCAACATTTAGACTCAAATGCTAGGAGTACAGCTCAACTCAAAAACGTTCCTTTAAATATGAATCATGGCTGAGGTTACTGCACCCTCTGCTGGCTGACCTCATGCACTCGTTTATAATGCTGGTTCATGGTGTGGGCCATGCGTGAAGAGTATCCACAGCCCTCTACTGTGCAGTGGTATGCTGCTCCCTCATTGTGAGTTTCCATGTGTCTCCGCAGATCATGCTGGTTCTTGAAGCTAAAGGTAAGGAGATAAACCATAAAATGTAAGCAATATATTCTTCAGTACTTCATTGAGTGTATGTGGTCAGTGCGAAAACTCTCGGCAGCCACCTGCTCTCACAGAAGTCACACGGGAAGGGCCTCTCATCGCAGTGACGGAATTTGATATGGATCTTCAAGGTGGAAAGGGACGTGCATGTCATGTCACAGAGAGGACATTTTATATGATTCACTGCAAAAAAAGAAAGAAGAAACTCCGATATCTTTATAGGTGTAAAAGACACTTAATATTCAGTAACATTATGAATTTGAATGCACGGACACTGCTGAATGAGAACAAAACTAAACTGAGCTGAATAAAGACACTATTAATACTGTTATTTTCGATCTAGTTTATAAAGAAATATAGTTTTTTTTTTACGTGTCTATCTTCAGTATTTTCAATAATTGCTTTGTATTCATTACTGAGGAAGTTCAGCAGTTTTTTGTTTGTTTGTTTTGCTGTTCGTCCGTTTTTTCTTTCTTTCTATTTAACAAAACCATAAATAAAATAATAAAAAAAGTATACTGTTATTACTGTTTATTACTGCGCTGCTTTGAAACAATCTGTACTGAATAAAGCTGTATATAAATAAATATGACTTAACATGGCATAAAGCATCTATAAAGAACAATACTGTTTTCCAGAAGATGTCATTCTTTTAAAAAAGCATCCTAAATTTAGGGATGCATCACATTATCTGATAATTATTTTCATGCTATGGCTGATATTAAAATTCCATAGTACTATTTGGCCTAAATAAATAAAGAATATAGAATATATATTTTATAATGTACAATGTAAATTATATTATAATGTAAATGTAAAATGAGCATGCATAATTTCATATCCATTAAACTTAAATCTCCAATATCAGCCAGTAACTGATATGGTATTGATATATTGTGTATCCCAATCTCAAAAGTTTAACTTACAAATCAAACTTGAACTCACCGTGCTGACGAACATGGTCTCTCAGCAGCCTCTCGTTGGCAAATGCTTTGTCACAATGTCTACATGTTAGAGAATCTGCAATAAAACATATTTATGGAACAACTACAGACTTAGAGACATTTCATGGACATTCTTAAACATCAGTGTTGCTGTATTGTCAGCGAGTGAAGAGAAACTATTTGAAATAAACTGACCTTCTGGTTCTGCTTGTCTCTGGATATGGTCAAAGAACTTAGTATTGCTGGAGAACATACAGCCACAGGTGGGGCAAGCGACCAGCCGCTCCTGTGTATGACTGCGCAGATGCTCACGGAGACGGTACTTGATTTTAAAGAAAGCATCACAGCCTGCGAAAATAGCAAAAGCGTTTCACATAGGAACATTATAAACATTGGTGAAACATTCCTGTTTTGCAGAAAGCGCCTACCTGACCAGCTGCAGAAGAGAGCCTGCTGTCGATCAGGAAGCGGCTGGAGCTCAGTGCAGTGTGCGTGCATGTCAACATGACGGTAAAACCACTCAGGGTTATTAAAGGAACTCTGAAAAAGCAAAAAAACAGACAAGCTCATTATATAACGTCTAATTTAAAGGAATATCTCAACCAGAAATTTAAATTTGCTGAAAATTTACTCAGGTAAATCTAAGATGTAGATGAGTTTGCTTCTTCATTGGAACAGATTTGAAGAAATTTAATATTACATCACTTGCTCACAAAATGGATCCTTTGCCGTGAAAGGGTAGCCGCTCCTGTGTATGACTGCGCAGATGCTCACGGAGACGGTACTTGATTTTAAAGAAAGCATCACAGCCTGCGAAAATAGCAAAAGCGTTTCACATAGGAACATTATAAACATTGGTGAAACATTCCTGTTTTGCAGAAAGCGCCTACCTGACCAGCTGCAGAAGAGAGCCTGCTGTCGATCAGGAAGCGGCTGGAGCTCAGTGCAGTGTGCGTGCATGTCAACATGACGGTAAAACCACTCAGGGTTATTAAAGGAACTCTGAAAAAGCAAAAAAACAGACAAGCTCATTATATAACATCTAATTTAAAGGAATATCTCAACCAGAAATTAAAATTTGCTGAAAATTTACTCAGGTAAATCTAAGATGTAGATGAGTTTGCTTCTTCATTGGAACAGATTTGGAGAAATTTAGTATTACATCACTTGCTCACAAAATGGATCCTTTGCCGTGAAAGGGTGCCGTCAATAATAACAAATTCATCTTTAACTTAAAACCACCAGTTCTGGCCAAATGACCTTAATCCATAATAACATTTCGCGCAGTGGAAAAAGTCCATCCCCTGTTGTTCTTTTAAAACCGACATATTTGTTTAGAACTGTTTTTGCTTGTAAACAGTGCTTAATCTGTGGATATTTCTTGAATGAATTTCAGACAAGACCGACTTTTTCACTCTAAAACCACCAGTTCTGGCCAAATGACCTTAATCCATAATAACATTTCGCGCAGTGGAAAAAGTCCATCCCCTGTTGTTCTTTTAAAACCGACATATTTGTTTAGAACTGTTTTGCTTGTAAACAGTGCTTAATCTGTGGATATTTCTTGAATGAATTTCAGACAAGACCGACTTTTTCACTTGAGAAATCAATATTATGGATAGAGGACTTGATGATTACTTGTGGACTATTGTGATGTTTTAATCAGTTGTTTGGACTCTCATTCTGACGGCACCCATTCACT